AGAGGGACAGAGCTCAGGGGTGAAAAAGTCAGTGTCTCTCTCTCTCTCTCTCTCTCTGGTGAATGCGGCCCAGCCAGTTTGGATCACGTTGTTTTCCTCGTACTGCGCTGATAAACGCGCGGCCATATGAGACTCAGGTGCCATATGAGCGGAGGGACTAGTTAGCAGCTAGTTAACCCTTTCACTGCGGTCTTCATTCTGGAAAATCCTCTTTAAGAATCACACTTATAATATATATATATATATATATATTTGAACTTCATACAATTCTTATTTGAATATAAAAAGTGTGTTGTGTTACAGAAATAATTAAGTGAAATTAGTCATGAATGATCGATTTTGATACAACATTTGCCAACAAATAGATTTAGTGTTGTCAGAGTAATGACTTTATCTTTTGTTTCGGCATGTTTATTGCCTTCTTGTGTAAAGCAGGCTAATTTGTTTTCCGATTGGCTGGCTCGTGGTAACTTGTTTATGACGTATTTGCTCCGTGCTGACGCTCACTGAAGGCAAAGTAAAGAGTCTGAATGCATTTCCATGGGCTGCGGCGTTTGCACAGTTGCCTTTAATTGCAGAGAAGCACTGCCATTTGCTAATGAACCCAACGCCATGAAAACCTCTGCAGTGCTTAAGACTTCAGTACTCGAAGGCTCTTTAGATTATTCCATGCGGCCTGAAGAAGGGTTGAAATAATTGAAATGCTGAATAGTTTCTCTGTCTGAAGTTTCCTTTCTGTTTTTTTTTTTTTCAGGGCCAATTTAAAAACTAAGGGTGTTATTACAGAGTAAGCTATGTTATTGATGTACTTCATAGAGGCCACCCAGAAGTTACACAGTTTTTGTGCTTAATAATTTGTGATCCGAAATATGATTTTGCATGATTTTGTTATATGCTCAGCTTTTAATGAATGAGAATATTTAGGCCTGTTTTAAAGGGTTCCATAAATAATGTCACTGTTTCCCTGTCATGAGAGATTCTTTTAGTTGTTGTTATATCCTCACTGTTGAATGTATTACTTGTGCTCGAGAAAACATCTTTTTGCACTTTTGGATGAGAACTGAGCATGCAAAAGCTATTTTTATCCACTCTGTTTTTAGTTAACGTTGGTTAAGTCATAATGTGCATGCTTTTGTTTTTTGTTGTGAACCAAAAGTATTGTCTTTTTAAGCGTAGATTATTTGCTTCTTTTGATAGTACACTAGTTGGGCAATGTTGAAATTATTACTGTGCTATAATCATAGTCTTTGTTGAAGTAATGAGATGGTGAGATCCCTCGTTCTTTATCTGGACAAATGTTGGCTGCTGTCAACGATTCAACAAGTGATATAAAGAACAAACATGTGACTATTTTACCCTTTGAAGAAGTGGCATGGGAATATCAAATTGTGGTTACTCCAATTAGTTAAATTGAAAACAGGCATTATGCATCGAGTTAAATGCTCTTTTTAAAGAGGCGCTCTGAGTCAAGTTCATGAGATTTGTTTAAAAAATTAGCCGTATTCATATATAAACTATTTATAAACATATAACATTGCTTGTGTGTAACTTTCTCTCTAAATTATATTCTTTACAAGTTTAAACTTCTTTGCAATTCCATAGTTGTTGTTATTTATTTATTTGACATAATTTGCCTACGAGAATGGTCAACTTTGTAATTTTAAGAAATTAAGCTTTATCCCACTACGATTTGTTTTTACGCCAGTGATGTGAAAGCTATTGTAATTAAAGGAGATGTGTGCTTATCCTACAGTGCTATTAAGGGTGACTCTACTGGTTTTTAAACGAGATCTCACCCACAGGCCATTTTAAGAGATTTCGCTTTCTCTGTAGACCAAAACTAAGCAGTTTATTATTATTATTTAAATTATTCCCCCCTCCCCAATTTTGCTCCATTTTGCTTTGTAAGATTTGTTAAAGGAGGTGTTTGGGGGATTGAACTGTTCTTGCATTCACCCTCCCTTTTCTGTTTCTGTGCATGCCAGCACCACATCCATTCATTTAAGAAGCCCTAATGTTTTGAACCAACAACCACGTGGTCTGTTTTCAACCACGAGGATCTCAGCCTTATCAACAAGCCAGGGTAAACAAATAAACAAGTGTCCTGAACAGATTTAGTTTTTGGTTTTGCATCCACTGGGCAAAGTTCATGTGTGAATCTTCTGCTTCCCAAGTATTTCCCAGCAGAGCTTGAGTATTTTAGTGAGCTTGTTCAAGTGTCCTTGCTAACCTTGTTTGATGAGGCATATAAAAACTCTCTCTCTTTCTCGCTCTATGTGTCTGTCTCTCTCTCTCAGTCCGTTTTGTTGTGCTATCTAGATAAAGCCAGAACCAAAAATAGTACAATGTGACACTGGTGGGTGGGTGTTAAAAAAAAAAAAAGCAGTCACTGTGGCATGAAATTGTAAACATATATTGTTTATAAGTTTTCTTTCTCCTGTGAAGTCTACAGTAACCTGAGACATTTTTCTTTATTATTATAAATGAATCGGAAGACCAATATTCTTTGCATGAGTGCGTGTATAATGTGCAGAGAAAGAGAGCTTCCATCTAAGACCCAACACAATGAAAATGCAATGAATTGGAATGCCTCACCGATCATAGCAGAATCAGAATTTCCAGCAAGGAAAATCTTTTCATGGCGAATTAAGTGGTGGAGGAAGAAAATTAAAAATGAAAAAAAAAAAAGGAAAGGCACAGATGACAAATGCTGCTCCCTGGGCTACGCACTGCAGATTTAAGAACTTTAGTCAAAGCTATCCAGAATAGAATGTGGAAAATTGAATTTACTAAACAATTAAGCATTGAATTAATCTACATCCTGCACTTGAGAGAGAGAAGGACACGAGGAGGGAGAGAGAAAAGGAGCAAGGGAAGAGAAAACATGTGGAGGGGGAGGGGACGAAGCCCCCCCCCAAAAAAAACATGACTGAATAAATCCTAGCTAGCTCATTAGAGGGACAGTGAATATATCAAGTGTGCTGTAGTGTGCAGCAGGACAGCATTCTCTCCGCCACGGCACTCATCTCTCCCGTAACCATCTGCATCTACACCGCCTCCACCCGCTGTTCATTTTGGCCCATATATTTACTCCTTCGCTTATGCGCCTCTGCGGTTTCCTCCGGGTGTCTGCTCGCTGGTGGACTGCTCTGTGTTTTGGGTGTTTTTTTTTTTTTATTATCATTAATTAGTTGTTAGATCAGTGGTGGACGAGATTGTTGGGGCAGTTATAAATAGACTCGAGTGCACCCTGGAGATGTCACTCACCCTCGGCCGAGACCCTCCCCCATTCCCATGGGGCCGAGCGGCAGCCTCCCACAAGCCCCGCTGCTCTTTTGTTCAATTACAGTTAATGCAATAGCTTGCTATTTTCTCATTCTAATTATATTTTCAAGTGGTATTTGTTGTGCGTAAAAAAACATTCTTTTACGTGTGGAGGTTCTGGGGTTCTCGGTCTCCAGGGTGCTGTACCATTCTTTTCCACAAAGCTCTGTATAAACAAGTTCCCTCCATTTCTCTCTCTCTCTCTCTCTCTCTCTTTCTTTTACAAAGGGTTGTAGAAACCGACAATTTCAGTTTTAACTCTTTGCTCCCTGGGCATGTGTTCTAGATTACGTCTTACGGCATACTTTTGGTATGCTGCAGAATATACTATTTTTTTTCTCCTGGATATAAAAAAAAAAAAGCATATCTAGAGTGGCTGGCACTATTATGCCTGACGTTTTTAGGAGACTTGCGGCAAGTCTATCAAATGCAATTTGGATTGTTTCAGATTTTATTTTTTTTTTTGCAAAAAGAAGATTACATAAAGAAGAGTACTATTTACCTAGAAATGTTATGACAATAATGGAACTTTTTTTTTTTTTTGCACGTTTGTCTCTTCATAAATTATCACAGAAATGGAAAGCAATTCATTCCCAAAGTTCTACTCTGCTTATGTAATATTTTGTCTATTTTGATAATATTTTCAATAAGAATACAGTATTCTTAACTACGTTTAGCACAATTATTCATGTTTAAATCCTGAAGACTGTGAATATTCACTGCAAAACCTGTATTTAAAAGCACAAAAAAAGTCTAACGATTTCCTGGTCCTGCTATTGAGAATGATCATCTCTGATACGCGTCTTTTTACATCAGAAAAGATGTTGCGGCCTTCATCTCATATTTTCCTCCCACAGTTAATGTTACTTTTGTGGAGACAGCCAGTGATAAGAGGCAACATCTGTTTTGTTCTATAGTACAAGTAGACCCTGCGTGGGGCTGAGTGTGTGCAGGCCCCGGCTCGCCATTGTTCCGTCCACTTCTCTTTATCCCCATGTCTGCTCCATTTGCCACATACCATCCGCCCAACAGCTGACACTTTCTCTCTATTATACACCTAAGCTTAATTGTCAATAGGATTTCTCTCTTTTTTTCTTCCTCCTCTTCCCAACTTGAAGGAGAATGGCTCTTATTTGATTTCATTTTGATTCGCTCGGCCAGCGACCAGCGAACAGGCACACACGCACACACATATACTCTCCCTCGCTCTGGGATATAAGTGTGGTGACTGACTGGCTCTTGTTGAATTCAGAGAACTCATGTTAGCTAGGGCATGTGTATGGACAGGCACACACATCTTAGCTGCTAATGCTAATTCCTCTTTCATTGTTTTTATATTTTGGTTCTGGACTATGGATATCTTGTTTCGGGTAATACAACCTTTTTTACTTACAGTCTAGTGTGTGTTAATTGAAATAGTACAGTATTTTAGTTTTTTGTCCTCTGTGACATGGTTTGGTCCATCACTCTTGTGAGCTGTGCTGACTGAATTGTCGTGTGAGGTTGTAGGGCCTGGAAAGAGGATGAAAAACAATGAAATGAGGAACATCTGATAAAGACAGCTGTCTTTGTAACATGGGACTATAGCATGTGTGTGTTTCTCTGTGATCTGATGCCTGATTGTGGGCCTTATTCTCTCTCTCTCTTTCTCTCTCTCTCTCTCACTTTCCGCACAGACTTCATGGAACAGAGACCATGACGATGCAGCTTCTACACGCTCCGGGGGAACACCAGGACCATCCAGTGGAGGACACACATCGCACAGCGGTGACAACAGCAGTGAACAAGGTAAGGATCTGTGATGTCCTTTGGTGCATATGTAAGGGATAATGTACAGTCAGTCTGTCATTATCATAAAATAAAGCCTGACAGGGTCATCAGGACTGTAAATTGGCTTACATGTTACACAGTTACTTACCAATTAAATAAATAAAAGGCCTTGGGATATTGATCTTAGTTTATCATTTTATTATGTGAGAAGAAAGAGACCACAGAGTGATAGGATAGAAACTAGCACAGTTAGGTAGAAAATACGGGACAACGATTAGTTATATAGTTTGCACAATACTTGATTGAAGCATTGACCAATCAGAGTCAAGTATTCCAGAGAGCAGTGTAATAAGTATGCTTCTATGGAAATGTCACTGTCTGTCTATGCAGATGTGTCCAGCTTACCATCTGAAGCTGAGCATGTGTATGGAGAGAGTTAAAGCACATGTTTAGGCCGCTGCTGGCTGGTCATGTGGTCGTAGGTCCATCAGCTGGTTGGGATAAGACTGCATTAATGAACCTTTCTCTGGGCCCATCTGGACAGGGTGTCTGAAGAAAGCCGCTGGTGATGACAGTCTAACAAAAGAGCGTTTACAGTGATGTAGCTTTATACATTGTGTTATGTTCCAGACCAAGACTATGGAACTTTCAAAGAGAAAAGATAAATTCTCAAAAAAACAACAAAAAAAACAAAAAAAACTCTCTTGGGTATCTTCTTGGGAGGATTTCTCTCTCAACGGAATGAAAGCTAATGAAAGCCAACTTCACTTAATTCGTCATGTCAACAAAATTCAAACTGTAAACAGAATCATCAACTGTTCGGCACTGTGATTGGCTAGTTGTGTGGTTTAACCAATGAGAACTGGTGTAGGCGTTGCCAGATGGAAGGATGGAGGAGGGTTTCAAACAAACTGTAGGCAAAAAGCAACTTCATTTATTATTGAATGGGATGTCAAGGCAGCAGTTTGAGAGCTGCACAGCCAGCAGGCAAAGCAGGATGAGAGCAGAAAGGACCACATTATGTTCCAGATGACTGAGCAACGATTTATTTACCAGCGCCGGTTTTCTCCCTCCACAGAGAAGAAGAGCAAAAAGAAAGAGGCCGACCCGGCCTAGTCGGTCAGATGGCCAATGACTAATGGCCCGGTTGCTCGCCACAGTCTGATTGGATGCCTTAATGAGCACATTTTGTGCCGAGTTTGGGCTCCTGCGGTGACCTTTGCTCTTTATTGACTAAAGTGACACGTCATTTTTCACATACTTCCAATTATCGCCAGGCTTTTACTGTTTACCCCCTCCTTCATCCCCTCATGTTCCCTCACCCCAGTGTTTTGGATGAATGTTTGTTGTGTCGTACGCTAGTGGGAAGAGGCTGAGCTATGAACCTGGACATATGCTGAGTGTGTTCAGCGTGAACAAATGACCCAAGCACTTCAGCCCCTTCAGTCTTATTCACACCAGTGGAGGTTTAGTGGAAGTATTATGTTAATGTGGGTTAATTGCTGATTGTGTAAAGCAGTGCTGCTAACCGTATTAGCATGTTCTGTAAAGAGTGACTTCATAATCCCAATAAGACCATTATTCTGCTGTTGGCCAAGAAACTCATGCCAATATGTCCCCAACTGGTCCCCTCTCTCGCATTCTTTTTTCCCTCTGTATTGCGCTTCTTTCCATGTGCTTACGCTTTATAATTAACATTAACAAGCTATCTACCTTACAAATGTCTATACAACTGCTGTAAAAAGGCTCTTGTTGTTACTGCGCTGTTCCTGCATCTTTGAAACCAAAAAACGGGAGTGAATGAAATGAGAATGGCTTCAATATAGAAACGGCATCATAATAAACAAGGATATGCCTCCAAACTGCATAGGAACATTGTACCCACATGCATAACATAGTACATCTGTAACCCATCAATGTAGAGATTGGCACCATAGCTGATGGTTCTAGTGGTTGCCATCCGCACCATGTTTTCCATTCCACATCTAAATAGCATCTCAGTATGAATGAGGATAGAATTTTCCTTGTTCGTGATTCTGTACCCATCAAAGTGCAAATGTATTCCTTTAAGGGGGGAGGATCAAGCCCACTCCTCCCTCTCTGCACTCACAGAAACTTTCTTAGCGGGGTCCAGCAGAGACTCAGCACGGCCCATCTCTAATTAGACCCCGTTTATTAGTGTAGCTTGCTCGTATGCACCCGCCTTTGTTTAACAGCCGCCTTCTCAGGGGACATTTTCTTGAATTGTATCTTGAAGCCATCTTTTCTGAGCGTCCACCCTCAGTGGGCAAAAAAACAAAAACAAATCATTATTATGGACTGCTGAGTATTGCTCGCTCTGGACTCTTGGCAAGGCCAGCGCCCAACCTGATTAAAAGTAACACCCTTGGGCTGCAGCGAGAACGCAGGCGATATGAGCCCCTACCAAAAAGGGGCAGGGAGCGTGGAAAATGACATGCTCTCACATACGCAGAGATCATGCTGAGTGTTTTGAAAGGCTTTGGGTTTCCTCTGCCTCATCAAAGGGTCTGGGAACAAGGTGATGACTACAGGAGTCAGATATGTATCAGCAATTACCAGGACCCATTTGCGAAAGGCCCCATGTGTGCCAAGTCAAATAGTTCCTGTGAGGCTCTTGTTATTGTCTGCATAAATATACATGCAGAGCCGTGGACTCCAAAACTGTACCGCGGTAAGACTGTGGGAGCCAGTGAGAGCTCAAGTGAGTTACTCAAAGTGAGTTAAGAAGTTCATTTACTACGACCAAACTTGACAGGAATGGCTATTGACGAATGTGACCATTCAGCTGCGGTGTAAGCAGGTCAATGTACAGTAAAAACCCACTGAAACTGCCTCAAATGTGTGAAAAATATGGAATGAGTTTGCACAATGTATTCTGCTGTAAATGTTACATGGACTCATCTGGTGCTGAGAAAAGCTGCAGCTAAACTTCATGCATCAAGCTAATCATTATTTTGTTAGATTGATTGTGGTGAGTGTTGTTGTCATCATTGACTTAATGGTCAGTTTGCTACTGGCCTGTGTGAAGGTCAGTCTGAGCGAGAGCTCTCATTGGCTCCCGGCCACCATTTCTGATCTGTGATTGGCTGGCATCTTAGACTGACCAACAGACATGGCCTCTGACAGGATGCCAACAAACCTTGGAGCCTGGATCCACCCACCGAGCCCCCGCCTTACGTGTTTGTCAAAGTCACCCGTTAATTGCAACGATTGTCCAGCAGACTGGAAGAACCTAGCCCCCTTCTCTCTCACGCTTTCTTTCTGTCTCTGAGTGCCGCCTGCATGCCTTTGCATTTCTCATGCGCTATTTTCAGTGCTCTCCTCAATTGCTGAGTGCACTACAATGCTGATCACTTTCCTTTTTGATTTTACAGCAGGGTCCTGACTTTGTTTAGCTCAGTCACTTTGAGCTGTTAAGAGGACACCTCTCCATTCGCACGCTGTCTGGATGCCGTCGCTCTTTGACTTTGTTTTTTTTTGCTTTCATCGTGTTTGGTGTGTGCGAGTGTTGTGCTTCAAAGAGCAATAGGAGCTCTATGTTGTCATTCAGGTGTAGTCAGTCAGTGGTTGTTCCTGCTTCACTAGATTCTCCTCTGTGCATGCAAAAGTGCTGCACACAGGAGGGGGAGGCTGAATGCTCTCTGTGCTCCCCGTGTATCAGTGGCAGCACGTTGGTGGAGTAATCTGGTTAAATCAGAGGCATAATGGCTGATAAAAGGTGTGCGGTTTTTATAGTGCAGGGATCTAAGAGCGGCACCGGGCGGCCCGAGCAGCCCCTGCTGTTTTTCTCTCTCATTCACATCACATCACACATCACATCATACACACCCACAGAAGGAGCAGAGAAGAAAGAAAGAGAGTGAAAGGCATAGAGAAAGCAAGGGATCACAGGAAAGAGAGCAAGGTGCCAATTCCAGTAAGTGTAGGTAAGTGTTTGGAAATGCATGTGCTTGACAGGAAGTACGAAATCAAAGAGCGGTTTTTATTTCACACAACACATTATGTTTTCTCTTCCAAGCCCCTTTGCATGATGCTCTCATGAATATCACATTGTGCCTGCAAATGGCTAAATTTAGCCATTACGACAAAGTCATGGAGATGCCAGCCAGTGTCAGTGAGGGGCACGAATGGCGCTGTGTCCTCAAGAGCCACTTGCTAGTTTTGTTAGGTTACTTAGGGGAAGAGATGCAGCATGGGGAACCCGAACCACTGGCATGTTTATGACCCCACTGAATCTCAGTAGTGATGGCACAACCAACAACCTACCACTTGTTTCTCCGAAAACGATTGGTGTCAATGGTTTTATGGCCCCACTCCTGATAGGACTGTATGTACGCACAGCGGTCCCATGGTGAAAAAAGGGGAAATGCCGCTGGTTCCCACACCCAGGGGCAGTTTGCCTTTGGGATTAGGCTGATGTCCTGTGTCATGTGGGAAAAAAGAGAGTGAAAAGTGAGAAAGGGCAAGTAAACAAACTGCCCCCCCCCCTTTCCCCATATATCAGCTGTTTTTTCTGCTTTCCTAATCATTGCCTTTAACAAGCTTTCATAGCCTGATTGAGAACCTTGTCTCTGGGCAGATAATACTCATAAAGCTGGTATGATAAAGTGTCACTTTTGTGTTTGCTCTTCTGTTTGCTCTGGGATTTAACTACTGCTGAAGTACTTCTCTTCTCCCCCCACCCACGATCATGTGAACTCTGGGAGACGGCTGGCTATAGCACTGCTGACATCTTTCTCTTCTTCTATCCACTCTTTTTTATTCTTTGATATAATAACTTGGTTTAATGTGACAATGTTGCATCTCTTCTCGTTGACCTCTTAAAGGTGAAGTGAGCAATTTCTGTGCCTCTAGTGGCACCTAAAAGAATTGCAATTATTTAAGCAACCAAAACTGTCTCAACCTATGTTGTGGGGCAGGACTGCTTGTTTGTTCTAACATTGGAAGACAGGCGAGTGTTTAAAACATGTTTGAAAGTCATCATTTTTGTGATTCTC